TAATTAATTTTTTTAATTTATTAAAATAAATTAAGCTTATATATATGTGGAAACAGAACAGTAAAAAAGATTTAAAATAATCATCTAGATTATATTGCCTAGTTCAATTCTATGCCTCTACTGGGTATTTGGATGAAATCAAATCATAGTTTGAATAATAGCTCCTGGAGAATAGATTTTGTTAAAAAAGTGATTTTGAGAAATGAAAGTGTTTGGATAATTGTTATTAGAAACACTTTTTATATATACAAATTACTAAAAAAAGCATAAGTTAATATGATAATTACATAAAAGATAGATTTTATAATATAAGATTAAATATGTTTATAAAAAAAAAAAGGAATGTTAAAGTCATTATTATTGATATATACTCTAACAGGCATAATCATATTTTCCAATTTGAACCAGAAATAGAATGGTTTCACTTCTCCTGAAACCATGATTTTGGCCCAAACCATGGTTTCGAATTATTTCTTCAAAATTAATATTGTTTGGGTGATAAAACCATGGTTTTTAGCAAGGAACAAAAAACCGGACCAGATACTAAACCGGTTGAGGTAATGGTTCAAGGGTTAATGGATCATATTGGGGTCAACTCGGGATCAAACCGGTCATATTAAAATAATATAATTTAATTAAAAATGACAAAATATAACAATACTAATAATTACTAATAACAAAATATAAAGAAATACAATAAGAATTTGATTGTAATAATAATAAAGCACAATAATATTGAGAATTTTGATCTTTATAATTTTTTAATAACTAAAATTAATAGTTATTGATACCAAACTCATCATCAAAATTCATTTAAATTTATAATAATTGAGATATTAGGAGTTAAATGAGAAAAAATAGGATAAATATCAATATATTTGTTTTAACCGGTTCATTACCGGTTTTCATCGGTTCACACCAGTTTGACCGGTTCAATCCGGTTTGAACCGGTCCTCGGTTTAGCTTATGAATCAGACCGGACCACTGACCGGTTCACTGGTTTACTAGTTGAACCGACCGGTCCGGTCCGGTTTTTTTTACATGTGTTTTTAGGCACCCAAAAAGGTTCGCTGTTTGGGTGACATCCCACCCAAATCATACTTTTATCTCCTAAACTATGGTTTCAGGGCACCTAAACATACATTAAAGTAGAATTGCTGGTAAAAAAAAATAATAATAAAGTAGAAGTGGTACGTGGCTTTGTTTTTGACGCGTGTAGAATAGTGCCACCTTAAAAAGCCTCGTCATGTTTAATCAAAATTTTAAAACAAAAATTTTTAAACCTCTCAGAGCCTGCCTCTGTTTGACTTTTGTCCCTTAGTTGTCTCTTTCATTATCTTCACCAGTCTTTTTCGTTTATTTCTTGAATTTTCGCTCCCATTGTCATAAGTTCCTATCATTTTATAATCATTTTTAATCAATCGACTTAATATTTTTTTCTTCCATTTTGAATATTTTATATAATTATTTTAATCGACAACATTCTAAGATAGTGCCATGTTCACTCGCTGTTTATTAGCAAAATTACTGTGAGTCCCCAAAAATGATTTAATTATTAAAAAGTTTTATAACAAGTGAGCAGTGTCATTTCTTTTTTTTTCACTGAAATTTGTCATTGCATGCACCTAAATTATTATTGGACTTTTTGATAATTAAATCCAGAACTTTATAGTCATTCTGTTGATTTCATATATCTAGAAGATTTTACTAAGAGAGTGTATCCAATATAAATGATTTAAAACTATATTTTACATAAATCAATTTATATTATTTATTTATGAACAACTAATTTAACTAATTTTTTAGTATACGTGAATTAATTATCTAACATTGGAGAATGTTTTGGAAGGATTAATAGGTATTTGTGATCCATTATTGTTGGTAGAAATTCAGTTGGTGAACCATTGAATCAAACAATTAGTCCAAACTTCTTTATGCCGAACAGCTGATTAGGCGATCCAAAATCATTAATTTTCAAAACGGCCTTGTTTTGGATTAAGGTAATTCAACATTCTAAAATATTTTTTCAAATGCATCTAATATCCTAAAGTATTTCATGGTGCATTCAGCACTCTGAAGTATTTTTTTCACATGAGTTCAGCACCTTAAATTATATTTTGGTGCATCTAATATTTTAAAATACTCTTTTTAAGTGCATCGAACACTCTAACTTAGTTTTTGAGGCACCCAACACCTTAAACTATTAAACATAAAATTCCATTAAAAAATACTTTAAGATATTGGATGCATTCAAAAAAAATTTTAGGATACTAGATTTATCACTAGATACTTTAAAGTGTTGGATTCATCTTAACTTTTTTTTTTTTAAGCTGAGATGCAATTTTGTCCTAAAATATTTTACATAGGAATCTTTGGTATCTGGAACTTTATTTAGTTTCAATTTCACCTTTAAAGTGTCAAAACATGAGCAGTATCATCCTAAATGGACATCTATCATATCAGATCTTATGCCACGTGAGTATGACTTTGCTTTCTCCCTTTGGTCATTTTACCACAAAAGTTTTCATGAAAAAGCAATGTGGCCCATGGACTAGAAGTGTCAAAAAAGAGCAATATTGCCCAAATTTAATAGCAAAACAAAACAAAACAAAACAAAAAAAACATATGAAAGACTGATGAAGATGCAAAAGGAAGCAAGTGATAGAGACTATGAAATGCATGATAAATAAACATAAAAAAGAATATGAGGTAAAAGCATACGGTAAGCAACTCTCCACATGATTGCGCTCCCCTTCAAATCTTATAATAAGCATCTTGGGAACTTTCTGGGCTCGCTCTTGTAATACACACAATAATACTAAAAAAAATAATTAAATCGGAATTACATACAAAATTTTATTGCATGATAGAGTTTGAGATTCATGTTTGATTTTGACAAATTCAACTAGTTCGTAGTTATGTTGAAAGAAAAAAGAAATGGATTAATAAAAAAAAAAGAAATGGATTATTATCATCTCTGTTATATGCTTCATTTTACATCTCAACAATCTTTTCGGGGCAAAAATAATTTTAAAAGAAAGTACAACTATACAATGTGGCATACAGTCTGACATGACAAACGTCTATTTAACCTATCAGTAGAGCAGGGCAACATTGCTATTATTTTAACACTTCTGGAATGACATTGAACCTAGAAAAAATCTTAGGTACCTATAATTTTTATGTAAAAACTTTCAAAATAAAATTACACTTTAATCTTTTTTCCTCAGATGCAATGGAAAATCTTAATTTTTTTTTTGGGCCACTATACCCTAGTCAAACTATTCCAAAGCTTAACCAATCATATTCCGACAAATTTTGATGGCAAAAAAAAAAATTCCAACAATTTTTTGTGTCTATAAGAATTTTGGAAATGACTATACTACACACTAAACATATGCCAATAATTTTCACCCCAACAAAAAATGCCGATAACATTTTAGGCTCATGACTTTGGAGTTTTTCTTGATTATTTGATTTTTAGACTGAGGATTCAATTGAGGACCCTGTTGATGATAAGGTTAACAAAGCTCTATTTGCTTTTCCTTTTTCTTTCTTTGGCAGGATGTTTACCTTTCCTACAAAAAGAAATCGATAGTTTTGAAAGGAGTATATAGAGCTTTATATATATTCAATTTCTAAATAAAATGTTTTAAATTTTGATGCAACTAGTTTAACATGTTTTTTCAAAAATATTTTTCATAGATTTACTATCAATTCTGATTAGATTAATTTGCTAACAACTAGTTATAAATTTTAATGCATAACTATATGGATAATAATTTTCCAACGTTTCCAATTAAAGTCTTATCTTTCAAACTATCTCAACTGTAATTTTATGTTCTATCTCCTCTTTACCGATGTTGACCACAAATCATGTTGTATTGTTAGTATTGGTAATGAGACATTAAAGTATCAAATACTAAAATTATACTTTTTATATTTTCATTTTTCTTAAATATTTTAGTACGTAACTGAAATGGGTTAAAATAAATTAACTTGAATTCATATTAGGTTGGTTAAAGATGGTTTTTAAACATAAATAGAATAAATAGATCTAGGGGAAATTAGGGAGAAGGACCTGCAAAAACTAAATCTTAAAAAGTGTAATTATTTAGGAGGACCAAATATTAAAATATATTATTAAAAATATGAAATTACCCCTAACCAAATCTCCTGTCTTTTCTCTAACCACTACTTTTGAATTTTAAATTAAATCCTTGATTTAATTAATCTATTAAATCTTTAATATCTCATACTGGCACATCTCTCTCTCATTCCTCTTGTTCCTTAACATGGATTCGACCACTAATATTTTTCATTGTCCTCTACCAACCGTTGTTAATTCATGGTTTATGTCATTATAAGATCATTAATAATGACGGTAATGTTGCATAGACTATACCAACTAATGCAGCGAATCTAATTGCATCTACATAATATTTGGAGATTAATTTTGAGATTCCTCAAGATAATGTGTTAGATAACATTAGTGTCATGATCTATGTGATTTATTAATACTTTTTGTTGGTAGCATGCTGCTTTTTTAGTTATTTCAATTTTTAAAGTTCACACTCACAATTATGTGGTTTATAATTTTTTTAGGGTTTGCAATCAATTGAGCATAGATGGAGTGAGGTTATAGTTTCAACTAGATGTATTTTATTTGAACAGTATTTAATTATTTATTGTTATTAGACCTGAAAACTAAGATCATAAAAATATGGATATAAAAGTAAAATAACAATGCAAAAATATTTTTATTAACGAAAAATAGGTTGTAAAGTTAGTGGTCAGAGAAATTGTAGGAGATTTAGTTGGGGGTATTTTAGTATTTTTAAAATTTATATACTGATATTTGGTCCTCCTAAATAATTACACTTTTTAAGATCCTCCCTAATAAATATAATCTTTTCTTGGTCCTTTCTCTCTAATTTTCCCATAAATCTACTCATATTATAAGATAAGTGGATAACCTTAGTAGATTGACTCACAAGGTATTCCATAACACAAAATCCACCTCACTGAGTTGCCATCAATCCCCCAACATTAATCTAGGACCCTTTTTTTTTTTTTTGGTGATACAATCTAGGACTTCAAAATCCACAACAAGCATAACTCAATCAAAATAATAACCATAAATAATGTGTTCAAGTCTGCAACTTCTGTCTATATACAAAATAATCCATCAAACCATTAACAATAAAATGTCATGTCGTCAAATTTGTGTCAAACCCTTCTTGCTCGATTCACCACCACCACCAAAAGGACTATGATGGAAAGCATGAAGGAAGTTCTCAGCTTGTCTGTGAAGGGATTAGGTAAGTCTGCTCCTTCCTCTCTCTTGTGAACTGCAGGTTGGAACAAATCAGTCACAATCTTTGTAATCTTCTCAATTAACTCCATAAACTTTGCTCTGCAACTGTCAAATATCCACATCACAACATTTGTGGTAGAATGAGACTCACTTCCCATGGAAGTCTCATCTGAACTCTCAGAAACTCGCCCATTATCTGTCAATTTAAAATTCAGATTAGTCATATTGCAATAACCATACATGTATATTTTGATCATCGACAATATAATTATCATTATGATTTGGGGACCCATTTGATTTTCCTTCATTTTTTGCAATGCACCCATGAAAGATGCATAGAAATTTTAAAAACTAACAATAAAACTACAGTTTCAATTTTTGTCTTATAGATATTGTTAAAAAAAGGACCATAAGTTGCCAAATTTTCTTTTCAAGTTGCATTTTTCATTCTATTTTCCATTGTATTACTTTGTATTCTATGTACTAGACAGAACTCAATCAGACCTTCCATGTCAGAAGTGTATGAACAATATCAGACATAGATATCCTCTTGCAATATATCTTTGGGGCAATTTAACTATTCAATTACTATTTCTGCAATAGCAGCAAGCGTTGTCAATACGAACCCTTCCAGATGTCATCATGCAATAAAGAAAAGTTGGAACCATAACCTCTCTATCATAAGTGAAGCGTGAGATGATTTTCATGCTTACAAATTAGAAATTTTACTGCCTTCAGAAGTTATCAAGGTCAACTGCTCATTTGGAGCAGTAAGATTAGCACAACAGATGACATTATTGAGATAAAAAACACTGGAAATGGATATGGTGCCCGATGTGTGCATCTTGCTTGAACTGTATTGAATTAAATTTTAAGATTTTTATTTTAAATGAAGCAATACCAAATAATTCTAATAAATTGAAAAGTAAAAATTTGATTAGATTTGGACTGTCCAAAGTCCAAATCAAACCTTAATTCAGCCATAAACATACAATTTAAACTATCTAAAAAAATGAGATAGAAGAGTCATGAAAAAATATTATGATAAAACATATAAACTATTTGGAAACCAACCTGAAGATAATGACTCCCGTAGTTCGCGGACAGCTTCATTATTCATAACAGCATCCCAAACTGCTTTGTCAGTTGCCAACGATTTCACCATTTTCTGCAGCAAGACGATCATTGTGGAAAAGAAATATACTAACAAAATTAAATCATCAGGATCTACAGTTGAAAGAAAAGTGGTTATTTCTCATGATAAACACTAAAAGTGATCAAACTATATTTTAGTCTATTACACAAGAGCAGGTTACATATATAACTTTTAATATTTCCCATAGCATGTCTTCAACAGAAAACAGAAGATATAGGTCAGCTAGTGCTACATTATGGTCAAGAAATTGACTACATTATAAGTTCAAACCAACTTCACTTAAGCAGTATATATCAGCTTTGAGATAATAATTTTACTTGATTTAATACACAAATGAATGGAACTTCTTAAGCTTTCCAATCTTATTTTTCATTTTGAACAAGAAAATGCTTGTGCTAAGAAGCTTCACTGGGAACAGAGTGAATGCAACGCACCTGGACAGTTGGCTCAGTCTGCAATAATTGAAATGCAGAATAAACCCCATTAAATTCATTATAGCGTCGCATTCTTGTATCATATGGAGACAAAGATGGCTCCTTCCAGTCCGTCTCAGATCCATCAGTGCTAACATGTAAACTAGGAATAGTGACATTATCTGACACATCATTCTTCAATCCACAATTATCGTTATTGGGCTGGAAATGTGAGGCAGAACAGAACTCTCTGTATAAAAATATAGAAAATACCAACATCACTGGTGTAAATTTAAAAAGAAGGCAAGTTTACACGATTGGAATGCAGTAGAATTTAGAAAGATGGGTCCACAATAAAATTCTTCCAAGACACCGGAAAAGTTTAGTGCATGCAAAGAAAAAGGATTCCTTTTCATTCTACAAAAAACAAGATATACCATATTCATTATACTTCTATCATCATTATCCAACAATAACCATCTTTATTTTTTATCCAAAGACACAAGGGACGTGTCTCATCCCCAAAATCAATTTCTTTTTCCATTCTATTTCCCTGTTTACTACATTTCCATTTTGAGCACCGAATAAGCCCAACGTAAGAGAAAATGCCAATTCCAAATGCAAGCAAATCTGTCATGCAAAACTGCTCAAAACAACCTAATCAACTACAACAAATGTTCCCATTGAAAGATTAATTGAGGAACTCCTTAAATTTAATCAAGACCTAGACAGAGGCTACACAAAAAGGGACAAACAATGATTTCTAATATATCACCAACCCATACTGCTTGTTAACTTGGAGCCATGTGAACACTCCGCCTCAAACTACAGCAATGGGGACTTCATAGCAATTATATGCATTCAACGCATTCAACACAGACTATGTTATCTCTTAAGGGGTGATTTATTATACAAAATAGAAAGGAATGGAATGAGACATGAAAAGAAAAAAGTGGTTTTAATGATAAAAATGACCTTCATGTCTCTACTTTGAAGTAATTAAAAAAACAATGCTTCAGTAATGATTACAGAAACGCAATAAACATCAGTATAGGAGGCAGCTATGGCTCTTCCTCAATGATACTAAACAGGGCATAAGTTTACATGTCAATGAAACGTTCAAAATGGACATCCCACGCAGTTATCTAAAATGATAGTGACGCAGTTGAATAGTCGCAAAATGGCCATAATCCAGAGAGGCCTGAACATTATACACTGCCTTCAGCATGCCCATACTAAGATCAATCATTTTATAGCATTTTTAGAAAGAAGCAGCCTCAAAAATTACATTTCTATTCTTGTTCATTTTCTGTTCCAGCCCATTCACAGATTTCCATGTATGACAAAATAAAGTAGAGACAGGTCTAAAGTATGGATTAATGGTTTCAACGGCACTATTTATTAGTCAAACCACAGACAGAAGTATGACAAAATTCTTCACCACTATCAGGGTGTAAATATTTCCGTCTTGCAGATAGAAAAGACATATAAAGTAGAGAGTTTGTCACTATAATCATTAGAATTGCACAATGATTCCATGGCATGAAGAAAAATGAACAACTCCCATAATTACAAAAGAAGGTTTCTCAGCCAACCATTACAAACAAACAATGAACTCAAAAAAGTCAAAAACAAATCATGCCAATAAACGTTAAAGAAAGACAAGCTTACTTTTGAAGAGCAAAGACAGCATCGTCAACCTCCTGCTCAGAAGGAACATTACCCAAAACATAAGCACCAGAAAACCCATTAAAACTCTCATCTTCAAACCCATCTACAGCGACCCAATCAAAATCGTCCCCCTCAAAGGAGGAATAGCTAAAGGGTAAGCCAGACACAGGGTTCTTAGAATGACAATTGACAGGAGAAGACACCGACAGACAGGGTGGGGACTTGGGTCTGCGAGCAGACTTCGAAGTACTGGCAGGGGACGAAGAAGAAAAGGGTTCTTGTATTCCGTTACCAGAAACCCCAACTCTCGTCACTGCCCTCCCCAATGTTCTCAACATACTTCCTCCACCTCCGCCTCCTCCTCCTCGTCCCATGCTTCTCCCAGAGAACATCATTTTGCTATAGCTACTGTGTCTCTTTGTAAGAGGCTTTCCTGTGAAGTTATTGCTTTGCTTCGGTTCTGTGGGGCAGAATCCAATCCAATGATATTTTCAATGACATATTTAAAAAATAGCGGAAGGTATGTGAGAATTACCTTTTTGTCCTGTTAAATTTTTTGGAAGATAATGTTGACATAAGCTACTCGAATGGTGATTTTTTTATTTGAGAATAATTTTTTATTATATATAATTTTTTATATGTTTTAGAGTCGGTATAAAAAAGATTTATTTTATACGGTTGTGGGTAGAAATTCCTTCATGTTTGGTTGTAAATAAAATAAAATAATTCATAATTTAGTGATTTTAAAATTCTATAATATCTGCATAAATATTTTTAAAAAATAATTTATTATCTAATAATTTATATAATATCTTTGCATATCTTCCGGTATGCATGCACGCTGTTATCTTTTAATCTCTTCCATCCATCATATCTAGTTTAAAAGTTCAAAATTTCAAATTCTAATTATATTTAAAATTGAAAAAATATAATTAAAATTTAGAAAAAAAGTGATTTTTAATGAAAAAATTAAATAAATGATTTATTTTTTGATAATTTTCAGATTTTATGATTTTTTCGTAAATTCTTGTTGAAGAAAATGATTTATTATTTAATTATTTTTATAATATCTCTACGTATCTTTAGAGTTATTTTCTAGTCTCTCTTACTCATTATAATTGATTACCTTCAAAAGTTATTTAAAAAAAAAATCTTTTTAAAATAATAAAAAATATTTTTTTATTTAAATTCTGATGTTTTTAAAAATTTAAATATGTATAATACAACCTTTAAAAAGTGACTTTTTTAATAAAAAAATTGTCAAAAAAAAGGAAAATAAACAGAGTGGCCTTCTCTCCTTTCTTTAACAAAGCTGGGGAATAATGGCAATCATATCTCTACCATATATAACCGGCGAAAAGCAACCTGCTAGACAGCCACATGGATTAATAAAATAATTCCAAGTGGGTGTCTAGAATATTATAATAAAAAGAATACTATGAGTATTTTTTTTTTCACACACACGATTTTCTTTTATAAATAGTATAAAGAGTTAATATAGTCTTTGATATTTTAAATTTATTTTTATTTTAGTTTTGATCCCTCAAGTTTCAAATTATAAGTTTTAGTCTCTTAAAAAGTAAAATAATCTAAATTTTTATTGAATCAGGAACTAATATTTTAAATAAAAATAAATTTGAAAAACTAAAACTAAAATGAAAAAAAACTTAAATGACTAAAATTTGTACTAAGCCTGCCACAAATCATATAACTTTCATCTCCTATTATTTATTTAGGTACACAATATCATCATATTTTCATTCAGTTTCCCCAAATAAATATGATATCATATTAATTCTGAAATATTAAATTACTTAAAAATTTTCATAATTTTCACGCATGATATAATTTCCTACTTATATATATATTAAATTTCAAATTTAAAAAATTAAAAACATAGTATATATAACTTTCCTCACCCACTAAAAATATTCATTTGGTATGATATCTATATTATTCACTTTTCCTAGGCCGCGAGTACAAAAATGAAATATTAAATTAAAATTTGCCAAATTTTCCTTCCCTTTTTATTGTTATTTTAACTTGTCATCTATATTTTAAATATTGAATTAACAAAAATCCAAAAAAAATATAGTAGTTTTCAAAATCATGAATAAATCAGAAATATTTATTTATTCCCAAACACCTTTTTAACAAGCTTTATTTTGTGTTTAATAAATTGATTAAGTTTGGCATTGATGTCATCATTTTAATTAATTAGTTTATATCAACCTCAAATTAAAAAGAAACATATAGATGGGGAGAATAATACTTTTCTTATTACAAGCTTAAAAGTGAAAGAGTACTTAGAGATTCCTCTTATTGAATGGTACTTCTCCGGTCCTTATTATAAGATCCAATTTGAATTTTTATTTGGTCCTAATTATAAAACCCAATCCATTTTCTCTCTTATATTTATGCATTTTTTCCCAAGATAATCCTTCTAATAATGATAGTTTTAGCCAATATACTTAATTATCAAGAATATTTTAGGAATAACAACACTTATTTATTATAAATAACCAACTTAACTTACTTCCTTAATCTCCTCAAATAAGTCAATTGGGTCTTATAATTAGGACCGGAGGAGTATGTTGGATTTAAGAACTACGAACAAAATTAGGAATAAAACTGTAAAACTCAAATGTAATAATGATTTGATCATATCTTTAGAAAGAATTTGACTATGATCGAATCAAAGAAAATTAATGATTTTGTCGCTATCACTTTCAATCTAATATAATCTTGATAATGAATAACTAAATAATTATTTGACGTGACTAAATAAATTTGATCATTATATTGTGGTTAAATCCATAGTTGATGTCAAATCATTTTGCTATAGTATTTAGGTCAATTCTTACAGCGATGAATTATGCTATTAATCCAATTTAATATTGAAAACTAACCTTTCACGTCACAGTTGAAGAATTAACAAGTAACATCTACGATCAAATTCTTGGGCTTGATTGATTCTCCTTTTTTGTTTTTCTGGTTTTAAAATAGTTTCCTTATTTAAACAAGTTTATTCTGAATAAAAACAAAGAAAATATATCTAATAATTAAAAAATTAGGTCTAGTTCTAAAGAACTTACAAAATCAATGCTTGTTGGTATATTTACTTATTAAATCTTGAATAAATTGAGTTGTTAATTTCTAAAGAACTTGTAAATTTTGGAGGAGGATTTATAATTTATCACACTATTTTAGTTTACAACTCAAACCGGCATGAAAAGCACATAGACCTGTAAACAATCAAAGTGGTTGGTTAAAATAGTAATTTAACCTTTTACAGGGATATATGCCTTTTTTTAATAAAAAATTTACTGACCAACCTTTTTTTTTGGCTACGCATAGTATCTTTTCCATTAGAGCCAGGAATATGGGTTAGAGCCCACGGGCCAGCCCGCCAACCAGTCATAAAAGAGCGGATTAGGGTTGATATTTTGTTAGCCTGCCAAGATGCGGGTTGCTTTGGCCTGCACCGCATAACCGGCAAGCTGTGGCGGGCTAGCCGGCGGGTTAGCGAGTTGGCCCGCTTAACTCGCCACTTTTTTTTAAAAAAATTTTTTTCATATAAATAATATGTGATTATATTTGAAAATTTTCTTCTCTTATTTACATTTCAATTTTCATGTTACATAATACATATGTAAACAAAAAATATTTTTTAAAAATAAGCATACTATATTAGCAAAACTTTAATAACTACAATCAAATATAAGACAATATTTATTACGAAAAAAGTGTCCTAGAAAAACATGATAAATGAACTTTAAAAAAAATTAGATAAAAGCACTTCTAATTTATTAAGAGATAGTGTTTTGTATCAAACATGGCATTTGTATGGAAAAAAATTATAAAATTTATCACTTGATGAGTTGATGTTGAATGTTAATCATGTAAAATATTTATAATATATTATTTTATATTTGTATTGACTATTTTAAATGTGGTTAAACATCATTTATATTTGTGATTGCTTTTAAACTTTTAGATCATCATTTACTATTTTAAAAAATTAAATAAAAATAAGATTTGAAAATTGAGAATTAAACCAAAAAAAAGATGGCGGGCTGGCCCGCCAACCCGCTGTGATGGGTTAGGGTTGGGATTTTTCTAGCCCGCCAAAATGCGGGTTGCTCCAATCTGCACCGCGTAACCCGCGGGTTGTGACGGGTTGGCCCGTATTCCCAGCTATATCTTCTATAGATTGATTTAAACATTGGCTAATTATATTGTAAGGGGTTGGCATTTTTTATTAGACCTAATCCCATTGGTCCTGACCAATATGGGCAATATTACTAATTTTTTTAATATATGAAAAACAACGTTATTCTCCTACCCTCAACATTTTTTTTTCCACCGGCGTCCTACCCTTAAGATATCCAAGACACTTCAAGAAAAAAATTAGGGATAAAATTAAATTTAACTGTGCATCTGCATCTATTGATTAATAAATCCATTCTAAGAAATACTTTTTATTCGTATTATTTGACATTTTGACCCAAAAAATTATTCTACCGCTCTTTTTTTTAAATTTAATTAACATATCATAAATTCATAACTCATAACTAATATTGAGTAGCTAATTAGAGTGACACATGCGAATTTAAAAGGTTCATGCCTCGCCAAAGAGACCATATGCATGTTTTCGCGTAAATGGTGGAAGTTAAAAGGGAAAAAGATAAAAAAATGACACTTGAATTTCATAATGTCCAAATAGTTTGCTGAATTTGAGAAATCCCAATTTGATTTCAATAGACCAAATTACCTGTCATTGTATTTATTGCTTTTAAAATATCAAAGCATCCATTGGCGGGCTGGTCTGTCACCGGAGCTCCGGTGACCGGCCGACAATTGGTCACAGGAACTCCGGCTACCAGAAACAATTTTTTAAAATTTTTTTTACAATTTCAATATAACAGTTAACAACTTTTGTAACACTATTAACAAATTCAGTATAATAGTTAACAACAGGTTTTCTAAGAAATTCAACAAGCTCTGACGGCCAGAAACAATTTTTTTGAAAATTTTTACAACTTCAGTATAATGTTTAACAACTTTTATAACGCTATTAACAATTTTAATATAGCAGTTAACAACAGGTTTTCTAGGAAATTCAACAAGCTCTGGTGGCCGGAAACAAGTTTTTTGAAAATTTTTACAACTTCAGTATAACAGTTAACAACTTTTTTAACGCTATTAACAATTTTATTATAACAGTTAACAACAGGTTTTTTGGAAAATTCAACAAGCTCCGGAGGCCTAAAACAATTTTTTTGAAAATTTTGTTATTTTGTTAAATCATTTTGTTATAGTATTTAGGTCAATTCTTACAGCGATGAATTATGCTATTAATCCAATTTAATATTGAAAACTAACCTTTCACGTCACAGTTGAAGAATTAACAAGTAACATCTACGACCAAA